GAAAGGTCCTATGCAATTTTTCCGTGTGTCCAACGGTTTGGGAGTTATTGGCCAAAAACGAAAATTTGGAAGAAATTGAAGGGATACCCCTTGGAAAAATCTCGGAAAAATCGAAAATTTTTTTTTTTATGTTTATTATTAGCAATGTTCTTCCGACGTCTGATTTCTTTTTAAAAAATGCGTTTCTAAAGTGCATAAACTTTTGGGATTGACTGTATAGCCAATACATCCTTAAGCAAAACATATCGTGTATTACACGCAATTCTAATTCTGGCAATTAACCAGAAAATTATGTTTCAATAACTGACGGTTGCTATCAAATTCTTGTTAAAGGGATTTGAAGATCAGAGTAATGGAAGATCTAGTTTAAAGATAGAAGGAATTTTTACTGTCGAAATATGAATTTTTAATAATCTATGGTCGTTCTTAATATGTTTTAGGTGCGCGTTTCGCGATCTATCAGACGAAGATCGGCCTTATTACGATATTACGTAATCACAGGGTTGAAGTTTGCGAGAAGACGATAACTAAATATGAAATCAATCCAGGATCATTGATACCAGTACCCATAGGAGGAATATATTTGAAGATAACGAAGATAGGAAGCTAAACATATTCGTCATACGCTTCTTGGCCTCGCGTAGAAAGATTGGCAGACAAGGTTACAATTCTGTCAATTCTTGCAATAGTATCAGTATTCATAATCACAAGGTTGAAGTTTGCGAGAAGACGATAACGAAATATGAAGTCGATTCGTCATTGATGCCAATACCGATAGGAGGAGTATACTTGAAGAGGATGAAGATAAGAAGCTAAGGAGAATCGTCATGCGTTATCCTAATACTAATAATGTCATAGATTACTTGTACATATGTAATAACCTTTGTAATACAATAGTAATAATAAATCAATGTTTTACCAGTTTGATGGTTAATATGGTTTTACTTTATCGTGCTGATACAGAGCCCATAAAAGTAAATTACTGATCATAGACAACTTGAATTCTAAAAAAATTAGCAACACTAAGTACCTACTCAGAAATTCAACTCTCATGCCCAAATTTTATCTTTACGAAAGAGATAATTATTATAATAAATAAGTCAGCTTAACTAATGTAATAATCTATGTAAATTTTACATTTGGAAATAATCGCACATAATGACCAATTTAAACTTCAAATTAAGACTATCCTTATCATTTGAAGTATCTCGTTGAATAATCGCACTTTTAAAATGAATTTTTGCTACCTATTGCAGTTCAATTGTCACTTCGCATACGGTTCGTCACGAGTCTGAGTAAAGAAACAACTGCAAAATTGTTATTTTACTGTACATACGTCTGCAATCGTTTAGTAAACTCTTCTAATTATCAAACTTCCGATAAATAGACGATCTATTCCTTAAATTCTAACAATCGCAAATTGCAAAACGATGGGCTATCTCGAAATCTGCTTGGTCGTTGTACTAATCGCCGCCTGGTACTACTGGACGTGTTTCCATTTTTGGAAAAGACGTGGGGTGGTTGGGCCGCGACCAGCCCCGATATTTGGTAACGGCAAGGACCTGATGTTTGGAAAAATATCCTTGGCCGAGTATGCGCATCAACTTTATACCCGTTATCGAAACGAGGAGATGGTCGGCCTCTATTTGCCTTCGCCTGCTCTTCTTCTGATAGATACAGAGAGAATCAGGGAAGTTCTAATCAAAAACTTTTCTAGCTTCATGGACAGAGGCATTGGCGTCTACGAAAAGGTATCAGAAGTACAACAAACATTTTTGCTTTTGTTCTAAGATTAATCCTAATCTGTAATTCATTCTCTTAATAGAATATCTAGAATATACATATGTAAAATATAGCAGTGGCATTATTACTAGTCTTATACTATATTATATTAATTTATTCAAATGGGATAACAATGAAGTCATTCTATGAGACCTACAATAAGAATAAAAAATTTCTCAGACGGACCCAACAACAATGAACCTGGTAAACCTGGAGCCGGAGAGGTGGCGACCATTGCGAATAAAACTGAATACAGCATTCACTACCGGTAAAATGAAGCAGATGTTTCCTCTGATTCTGGAATGCAATCAAATGTTTGAGAAACGCTTGTCAAAAAGTGTGGACAAGGGAGAACCAATAGACGTGAGGGCACTCTCTGCGAGATACACGATGGACGTGATATGCTCCTGTGCGTTTGGGATGGACATCCAGGCGCTTGACGACATGATTGTGGGTATACTCAGGGGGTCGACGAACTTCAACCTCGAATGGCACATCAGGCACAAGATGAGAATCTTCGCGCCATGGCTGTACAACCTCATGGGTTACGTCGTAAGCGAGAAAGTGCTTTCGCCGTTTTTCTTGAGAATTTTAAAGGACACCGCCAAACTTAGGGAAGAAAACAATATGCATATGACGGATCTGCTTCAGGTGATTTTAGACATCAGGAAGCATCCCGAAAGTATGTCAGATATCCGTAAGTAGGCAAAAGTGAGCCACTCAATATTAAATTGCAATAACGAAAGGTCAGAAGTTGATAGAGGCATGAGGCTCAAAAATATTGACCAAGCCCTAAACCAGTGGTGGGCAAACTTTTTTAATGGGGGACCACAAAGTTTAAGAAATTCTAGAGGAGGGCCAGAATTATAGAAAAAATGCACTTTATAGTTCTCGACCGTGAAAACGTAATTATAGCGGGCCATATACTATCCATGTCGATGGGCCCTCGGCGGGCCGGATTAAATAATTTCGCAGGCCGGAGTTGGCCCGCGGGCCCACCACTGCCCTAAACTGTAAGAGAATCTGATTATCCTTTGGGCCTGCCGATTTTAATACATGCCTCACGTATCTGTTTCGAGTAGCTTAGCCCCAACAAGTCCGTTTGAGTTTGAGAATTGGAAAATGTTTCAGAAATATCCGATGAGCTCCTTAGTGCCCAAGTATGTATGTTTATGATCGTCGGCTACGAAACGTCCGCAACTACAATGGGCAACGCCATGTACGAGTTGGCGCGCAACCATGAGATTCAGGATAAACTGCGCGCAGAGATCAGAGAATATTATGCGAAATCCAATGGAAATTTGGAGTACGAGGATGTAAAGAAACTGAAGTACCTCGATCAAGTATACCAAGGTGCTCAATTATTCAATTTCTATATTGATCGCAGATAAAGTTTGATACTAAAAAATTAACTAACGATACCATTATAACAAATTCTACTAATATTTTTACTCATGACCATTTTAACATTCGTTTACCGACAAAAATTGAAATTGTATTAACTAATTATTCTAGAGACACTGAGAATGTATCCAGTGTTAAACACTATACAGAGAAAATCAGTCACCGATTATACCTTCAAAAATAGTAATATCACCATACCTAAGGGCACTATCATACACATACCGTATTACTCGATTCAACGAGATCCGGCCTACTACCCAGATCCGGACAAATTCGATCCTGAGCGATTCAGTGACGAAGCGGTCACCTCTAGAAATTCAATGCATTTCATAGCGTTCGGTGACGGCCCCAGGAATTGCATTGGTAAGTTGCTCTCATAAATTCTTGTACAAAACAAAACATTTGCGATGTCAACTTGAAAAACATAATTTGGATTGAGATTTTTTATTTTTAATGTTCTGCATATTTCTATGCATTTCATGCAGTTTAGACAATTTCTCCACTTGTGTTTAATTCTATATCAGACATCTTTTTAAACATTTTGCATATCAAAATTTCCACGTCACAAATTCTCAAAGGAATTATTATATGCCTTAATTAGATCACTTACAATTCATAGACAAAATTATATAATTTTACTATCTTGTTTCTATAGGCAAGCGGTTTGCTACATACGAAACGAAACTCGGACTGATCACGTTTTTCCGCAATTACAAAGTGGACGTTTGCGAAAAAACGACATCCTACAAATTTGACCCAAATCACGTGTTACTGGCACCAATTGGAGGTATACATTTGAAAGTGACGAGAGTGGAATATTAGCCAGTTACAGTACAGTAGTAAAAAGGAATAGTAGAATAATGTAGTAATGAATAAACTAGTAGAATAATATAGTAATGGATAAACCCTTTACTGTCCCATACCTCTGTTTTATTTCCCTAAGAATGTTTCTATATTTAGACATAAGAGAATAGTTAGATTTATTTCGTCGAAAATTTATCAAATTCGAGCGGTTCCGAAGATTTTTAGATATTTATTTTAAAGACGGAAACTTCCACTTTACAACGAGCCTCTAAGTACCATTTGAATAATGAGGAAGAATTAATGTAAAAGTATGTCGTCTATCTTAAATAAGCGGTAGTTATCTTCGAGGAGACGGATGCTGATAAAGGTTATACTAATCGAGCAAACTCGTACATACATAGATACTCTCTCGTGAAACTTTCCATTCGTGATTCACGTCGCGTTTCGTTTCAGTCGCTGCTCTTGCTCCCATAACTCGAAGGTTTGTGCTTACTACGCGACAGTCTCCAATTCATTTATTTTAATGAATATTCTGTCGAGCCGAATTCATTGTACTATTTGTTACAAGAATTCATTTTTAGTGAAATTCGTTCTCCTTTTGTGACCCCGATACCAAACTTCTAACATTTCATAGACTTTTTTAGTAAAATAAGTGAAAAGATTAAACAATGAAGAATAATTCATTGTAAATTTTCTATCTATATATTTATAATATATAATTGAAAGGTCTTTAAACATATACATTAAATACCGGGACTAATATTTTGTTGTAACTGAAAGATAGTCTAAATTTAAAATTGTAAATGAAACGTGATAATCCGTATAAAAGTTCACAGGCCATTTACTAAACGATAATTTATCTAACCTCGAATATAATTACGATTAGCCTACGAATTTTATGCAATCATAAAAGAGCTAAATATAAATATAAAGATACGAAGACATGAATTGATATCAAGATACTTTTTCAAATTGATCCGATAAGCGTTTTATCTTCCGTAAAAATCACAAAAATAATTTTATACGTGTACATGTTCGTGTTTTACATTTACTCTGACGAACGAGTTTCAGCCCGAGTGTTGGACAGGACAAACATGTTTGGCCGCGTAAAAAAAGGAGACGTTGTTACCAGTTTATTATTATTTCATTTTATTTGTTCTGCTCGCCTGGCTCTGTAACTCAGTACCATTCAGTCGATTCGAATCGCGAGTCGAGCAACATCAAAACTACTTCCCCTGCATACATTCGTAGGTATTGCAGTAAAGAGGAGAAAATTTACTTCGGCTGTCGTGGTAAAGTGATAGTATACAGCACGTAGCTGCAAGGACGAGGAAAGAAGAGAGACGAGAATGGACGCGATTAAACCGGGATGGTTCAGCGAAGTGGACGATCTCTGGCCAGGTGTATCGTTGTCCCTGGAGGTCGTCAAAATCCTTCACCGTGAACGATCCGAATACCAAGACGTGATGGTCATCGACACGTAAATATAGCAGATCTTTTTGTAACATTCGGGCCATTTTGGGACATTGTGCATATATGAAAAATTACACACTCTCCGCGTGAACATCAAAGTATCAAAAGTGAATGCATAAAAGAAATCTATTTTTTTAATTGACTATGATAAATGTTTTGTCTCGCATAAAAATTTTTCCTAAGATAGCTACGCGTAGATGAGAACTGAAAGGAATACTATTCTTGGTTTAATCAACGTTGGCTTGCACAATCTCGTCTTTCTTTCGTGTTTTCATCGTATTTCGTCATTTATATCTAATCTCTGACATGGAAAAAATACGTGTCATGTACCATCAAGCATACGCTTATAGATACGAATATAACGGAGTGCATTCAAAGTTTTTCTTTCCTTGTATTGCAATTAATTCCACATAGAAAAGAATGGAATCAATACTTTGTTGAAAACCGATGTTATGGGAAATTTATTTTTTTAATACTTATTTAAGAAAGAGAACGGATAAAAAAAGAAATTGTTTTAATTACAAACACGTGTAGGAGATCATATGGAAGGACCCTAATTTTAGATGGAATAATTCAATGCACGGAGAGGGACGAGTTCGCTTACCAAGAAATGATCGCATTTTTACCCTTGTGCAGTCATCCGAACCCGAAAACGGTAATTAATCCATATGAAACATATTTTCCTTCAACTCGATAAGATTCTTATCATTCTTAACAGTACATTCACGATTTCATCTATGTTTGTCAATTTTCGATTTAGGTTTTGATAGTAGGGGGTGGAGACGGAGGTGTGGCTCGAGAGGTGGCCAAGCACCCACAAGTGGAACAAATAACGCAAGTAGAGATAGACCCCAAAGTACTTGAAGTGTCTAAAACGTATTTACCACATATGGGTATAGGATTGCAGCATCCTAAAGTCACCCTAAATGTAGGAGATGGTTTCCAATTTTTGAAACAACATCAAGGCGAATTTGACGTTATTATTACAGACAGCAGTGACCCCATTGGTAAATAAATATATAATCGAATCTTAATCTTCTATCAGACTTCTATTAAATTAATTTATTGTAATTTAACTAATCCTATAATTCGTTCAATGATTTGTTACACGAATCTATTGTAATATTAATAATTTCAAACGTAATATAGGTCCAGCAAAATGCCTATTTCAAGAATCGTACTTTAGCTTAATGAAGACTGCGTTGAAACCCGGAGGAATCGTGTGCAGCCAAGCTGGTACTGCTTGGCTGAATCTGAACCACGTGAAAGATACGGTACAACATTGCAAAGCAATATTTCCAGTGACTGCTTATGGTGTTGCTTCCGTTCCCACCTACCCAACAGGGCAAATCGGTTTCGTGCTGGGAGGATTGAGTCCCGTGAGTATACAATTTTTCAAAAGTAACAGATACAATTAGACTGCAGGTTTTTATCCATCTATGAGAGATAGAAGTGTGCTGAATTTTGCACAATGCAATTAATAAAAGCATAGAAATTACTGGAAGCAAAGTGTATGTATGTTATGATATTTAAAAAAGCAAAGCACATCTAAATTTCATTTGTCAATTATTATATTTCGTAAAAAAAAATCCGCAGTCTAGGTACAATGAATTATATTTGTCATGTAAAAAGTATTATAAATATATTTACAGGAAACGAATTTCAAACAAGCACAGAAAGTTTTCACTGAAAGAGAACTGGATCAAATGAATATGAAATATTATAATAGCGAGGTTCATCAAGCAGCATTCGTTCTGCCAAGGTTTATAACGAAAACGCTGAACGATGCGCTAAATGTAAATGTAAAAACTAGCCAGTAAAGACGAGAGATGAAGACTTAATTTTTTTTTTATACGTAATGTACAAGTGACAAACAAGTATCACCACAGACATAAAAAAATCACATAATTTCATCAGATGTTTGTACCTTCATTGTAATATAAAATACAGCGACATAGTAAAATGTAATATATGGCTAACACGAAAAACTAATTTATAAAACATTCTTACATTTTCTAAATGTACTTTATGTAATCTATCATTGTCATAGTTTTGAATACACGTATTTTCAATTTTGTAGCCCTGACGTTTTTAATTCAAAGATACTTCCAAATTAAGACTAAACTTGAAATACAAAGAACACTTCTGGAAAATCTTCAATCGATTGACCACGTAGTTACTGAGAAATTTGTCATTTCGTGTTTTATTACGCCGATTTCTCTAACCACTTAGCGTTAGATGAGAAGAATCTCAAAAGAGACGAACTTTCGTTTACAACATGCAAATATCTTGACTTATCGATATTAATAAACCGATACTCCGATTAGACTCGGACATCGAAGATCTTTTAACATTATATCTCCTAATTATACAATTACAATTCGTAAATAAAAATTTCTGTTACCTTCGATTTAAATCTGGAGAGGAACCGGGCTTCGAAGATCGTGGACAATCCAAAGCTTCTTTCGAAATGGCACGAAAACTAAGTAATGAGCACTTGAAACAAGTTGAGGGCACTTTAGATGAAGTACTTAACAAATTCTGGGTTTCTCACAACTCCAATATCATCAATTTTAAGCAAAAATTAACGAGCAATAAAACTGCACTATGCACATCGTCACCACAAACGGACTCGCTGCACTCGGAGCGGAGTTAACTTCAGGACGGTTTCGTACCCACCGACTCGTCTCCAATGGAAATACGTTTAAGATGGCGTCGCTCATTGACAACTATGAGCAACAATACGCCGTTTTGACAGCTGACATTACAGCGAAAATTGGTAAAATAAGGACCCAAAACGGTAGTGAGTATCCACTAATTAAAACACTGAATCACAGTGAATTTTGTTATCACCACGCTAGTCTCGTTGTCATTCGTATAAAGGCAATGTTATTACGTGTATCTTATTAAACAGTAATCAATACACGTGACGTAATTTTGCAGATGAAAAAAGGCAACTTATTCAGGATGTGGACAGGCAGATCGAGGAAGCCCAGGAATTGGTAAGAAATTGAATTTCTATTTATTACATGTTAAATTCCAATTGAAGCTAACACTTGAGAATCTCACTTCTTTAGGGTTAGAGTCGACTTTTATACATTTGTCCACTTGAACAGTCATAGATTAAATTCAATTCCTGAAATATCCTTTCTGTCTAATTTAATAAAAAAATCTTAAGAACTAATCTGTTTCGCTACATCAAACATATAATTCTTATTGTTAGAATTTAAAACTGACAATGACGTACATATTAATTCAGAGATCACTCAATTTTTTTTCTAATGATCTTGTTCTAGCTGGAGCAAATGGAGCTGGAAGTTCGCGGAGTGAACAGTTCATCCCGCGATCGCTTGCGTGGTCGCGTCGAGAGTCACAGAGCTGAACTAAAACGCCTCACCCAAGAATTTCAACTAGCCAAGAAGCCTAGAGATGATAGCAGCATCGAAATAACGAGAGAAGATTCATGGGAGAACAGCATAACCGAAGATCAAAAGAAAAGATTATTAGATACTTCAGAGAGAATAGATAGAACAGGGAGGACGTTGCAAAATGGGTATCGAATGGTTCTGGAGACTGAGGAGATCGGGTCAGAGGTGCTTAAGGAGCTGCATGTACAGAGAGAGACGATTCAGAGGGGAAGGACAAAGGTAATTATTTATTCGCAAATATTAGTTAAATAAAATCGCTATCCCATTCTTTAAACCACTTTCCTTTTTCCAGTTACGAGAAACGGACGCTGAACTGGGTCGTGGTTCCCGGTTACTCTCAGGGATGATATTCAGAAGCCTTCAACAGAGATTCGTGCTAGCAGCAGTAGCATTGACGCTTATAATTGTTGCCTGTATCGTTATGTACTATAGTTTAAAATCTTAGGGCTAAATACAAAGGAAATATTCACGTGTGTTGGGATATCGCATAACTTCCTCTGGAGGTATTATTTATTTATCATGAACTAAGGCATTTAACTTACTGACAATGAGCCAATTGTTGCTTGACCAGGTTTACTCACGCTGATTAATGAATTGCATTAGCGAACTGAAGGATTTCATGTAATTAAGGTTTATGGAGATTATTTCAATTAATTAATTCACATTATATTTCCTGTAGATCAGTTCTTTTCCCTTCTCTGTTTCCAGTCAACGGTATTTAATTTTTTATACACACAAATTGTATACATCTAAGGAGGGTGATAAGTGACTTATTACCAGTTTTTATGCAAAAATGTGAGAACTATGGAAATAAATTATGTTAAATAAAAAGAATTAAATTCTAATTTCACTTCTCTGTAATGGAAATTCGTATTATTAAGAAGACAAGAATCATTTTTTAAAAAATATACATTTTTTTTACAAATCAGAAAACAAAAGATATATGTACGTATATATGTATGCGTATTTTAAAAATCAATGGAAACTATTTTTATTCTGCGGTTGCCTGACAAATAAAAAAAAAGAGGATGACCTTGTGTTGAATTGAATGCTAGCTGGAAGATGTTGAAGGATCAAGGTGGACGATGCTCAAGATCAGTCTGGGTGTCAGTCCAAGTGTCGATAGAGATCGTCTATCTGTGGTTTGAAATACTCCTTCAGCTGAGGTCGTTTCATCATCAGGTTCGGCGTTAGAAGCCCGTTCTGTACCGAAAACGGATCCGGATGAAGATAAATATCCTTTACCTGGTAACCAAACGTTATGTTATGATATTTCAATTTACGGAACGATTAGATTAGGACGTATCTATGCACGAATGAGCAACAATTTTATAATGAATATATTCACATAACAGATCACGATTGTATAATCAGTATGACCTATTTCTCACCTGTTCAAACGATTTTAAGCCAGCCTCCTTCCCCCAGGACAGCATGTCGTCCATTATCAACTGCTTCACTTGTTGATTAGCGCACAACACGCTCAACATGCCTGGTATACCGTTTTCAACGGCCCAACATTTAACAACGTCCACGTCGGGCACGACTATACCAACTATGCACGACTTCAACGATTCACCGTGAACGAACACTTGGTGAATATACTGGCTCCGCAGATAGGTGCCCTCAATCTTCTCCGGCACTATGTATTCACCCTGCGAAAGCTTGAACGTGTGTTTTCTCCTGTCGATTATCTTCAGCGTTCCGTTCTATGAAAAATGAATACTAAAATAGTAATTTGAAATTCTCGTCTATCTAATATTCACAGGAACTGTTCAATATTTAATTTCGAGAATATTTTTTACAAACATTGAACATGGAGAAACTGTATATAACTGAACTAGATTTCTATTAATTTGCATTTGCTCTGGTGAAGAAATACCGCATTAAAATATACGTTTTACATAATGCGAGGGGCAGTGTTTACTCACAGGCAGCCACATGCCAACGTCCCCGGTGTGGTGCCAACCGAACTCATCTATAACTTGGGCGGTCTTCTCCGGGTCCTTGAAGTAGCCCATGAACACGTTCGTCCCCTTCACGCAGACCTCGCCCTGATTTTTCTTGGCGTAATACTCCATTTCCGGCACATCGACCAATTTCACGCAGCAACATGGCACAGGTGGACCTACGTGTTCCGGTGTTGCGTCGCCCTGTTACAATCATTTATATCCTCAACGCCCGCGGCCAAACGCAAGCACAATACACTTAGATACATTGAAATAAATAAGAATTACTTTAAAGGAATTTATTCTCGTAGACTTCCATTTCATAATCTCGTTAGTAGTTTAAAAAATAGGAGACGAACCTGGACCGTGAGAGTGATGGGCGCGCAGCACTCGGTCTGGCCGTATCCTTCGACCACCAAGCATCCCAAGGCACATCTCGTGAACGTTAACACGTTCCCTGCCAAGGGGGCTGAACCGACCATCATCAGTCTAACTCTTCCTCCTGTCGACTCTCTGATCTTTCCAAAAGTCAATTTGTCCCATACACTGTTGGTCCTAATGACACCCTTCTTGATTTCACCCTCCTTGGCTCGCATGCCTAGACTGAACACTAATCGCTTCAAGCAGGATCTTTGAAGTTCTGTTTGAACCTAGATAATGAGAACCTCATACATTTTAATGAAACGAAGACTTATTGTACAAATGTGATTCTTTATATATGTTTCACATACCTTGTCGTACATTCTATTTAATAGCCTAGGGACAGCTGGCATCACGGTTGGCCTGAGAGCCTTCATGTCGTCCGTTAAAAGTTTGATGTTCCCACTGTAAAATCCCACGGCACCACCGACCATATACATTCCGTTCTCACAGCAGCGTTGCAACATTTGAGCCAACGGTAAGAAACTGATCATAGTGTCCTTGTACGAAGGTTTTTGGTCCCCCAGTTGCAGCAGGACCGCGCAGATACCTGCCATCACGTTCTGATGCGTCAGCATCACACCCTTAGGGTTGCCCGTGGTACCAGACGTGTAGCAGATGGTGCAGAGATCGTTGATCTTCGGTGGAATCTCTGGATGATTCTTCTGAGCTCCTAGCCGCTCCACGTCTTCAAACTTCAGCACCTCCACCCCACGGTTCTTCGCTCTCTGAATTGTCGTCTGCTTCACTTCTTTGATTACTATCAATTTTCTCAGGCTTCTGAAATTAATTTGTTTCACTTCTTAACTAATCCATGCTCGCTTTAATATTAATATATGCAATAGTGCAATTTTTAATAAAATTTTACTGTCACTCATTCTTGTTAAAATCGAGACTCAATGAGAATTAGTTAATGTGATGAAATAAAAATGATTTAGTGGTAAATACCTTGGGGCTTTGTCCAGGAGCAAATTGCACTTCTTGTCGTTTTCACAGATAACGACGTTGATCTCAGCCTGTTTGATTATGAAGGCGCAGGCATCGGGGCCCAAGGTGTCGTATAATGGTACGACCACCAACGAATAGGTGTAGCAGCCTTGCTCTGTGAGGATCCATTCAGGACAGTTTATACTGTATAATCCTACCAATGTTTGGGATCCAGGAGACAAGCCTAACGAGATCAATCCAGAACCGAAGTTCTTCGCTCTGAGCAGGGTCTCGTTGTAGTGAATCCACTGATAGGGCTTGCTGGGACTGTCCCTCCAACCCAGACAACGGCCATTGTCTATTTAATGAAAAATAAATAAATCTATTTATTTATTTATTCATTTAATCATTCAAAAGATAAAAAGTCGTTGAATTATAATAAAATGAATGAGACATATTGCATTTTATAATTAATGCATTTACGTGTTTCGTGTTGTGAAAAAACAGGAGAGTAATAAATAGAGAAGATGCATAAATCAATTTATTTAATTATTTATTGAAGTAAACAAGACAGTGTGCGATTTTATTATAATAAACTAGATGAGACAGAAAAAGATTTATGTACTTATTGCATTTTAAAAGTTATGCACTACAAATTTACGTTCTATTGCATTTTATAATTTACGCATTGCACGTTACAATGTGTATTGTGGAGGATCAAGAGAGTCAATAGAGTAGATACAGTATACATGTACAGTTCGCGAACATGTGGACAGTTTGGGAATTCTCGTAGGCGAGGCTCGAGGATAAATCGCTCGCGCGAGTGTGTTTACATTTAATTTTAAAACAAGTATCAAGGAGGAAGAAGAAGATGGGCAGATATGTATTGCTAAGGCCACGCGGTGGCCCAGGAATTTTAATTGCCGACTCGCGCCAACTTAGATTTTGACGAACGCCAGTAACTGATTCAATAGTATCTAACACAGTTGCAACGAGAAAATCTTGTGTGAAACATGAAAAAAATTATATTGAAATGGTTTGATTAAGGAAAATGTAGTTCGAATAAAAATTGAGGAGTGAAACTAGTTCATTAATTCTGAACTTCTGCTTCTACCTATGTTATTAAAGAATCTAAAATACAACAATATTCAAAAAGTTAGAAGTCTTTTTTATACTTACTTGACTCTTTGGCACCTTTTCGGAAACCGTCGTAAAGTGTCCTCGTATCCTCGTAGATGAAACTAATGAATTTCCCTTCTTTGCTGCCTGGATAAAACCTCGACACTCTTATCAGATCGGTGCCCTGTTAAAAGCGCGTGAAACTTCGTCTAAAATTACTTGAACATTGAGAATTCTTAGATACATTTTATAATAAAATTACGTATTTTATGGTAACCGTTGGACGATTACAAGAACAAATGTGAACGATCGATGTCACGGTGGTTCCTTGCTAAAGCACCACCACCACGTGAACCAGTGTCACGCGACGCTTTGGACACCGTGCCAAGCAGCTTGTGCAACAAGTCTGTCCACCCACACGAGTGCACGCATTCAAGCGAGAACGCACACATACCCGCGTGCCACGCGAATTTCGTCAGAAAATATTTTAGTGATTAAATGTATTTGCAAGGAATACGTACTCAATTTTTATTGCAATCGCGTATAATTAAGCGTTTTATATACAAAGTGAATCAGAAAAACGTTAATCGTTACCTTAATTATAAGTGATAGAAATAAAATATGCATTTATTTAATTTAAAAGATTGACAAAACAAATTGTTATTATTTGACCTAAAATAATGTGACATATAAATTACAATACCGATCCAGTCATTTTTTAATTTATTTAAAATAAATTTTTGTATGAATTTCATTCGGAATTTATAATTCGTACCTTGACTGTGTCAGATTGATCGTTCAAGTCGATCGGTGGTCGAAGCGGCGGTGGTGCGAAGCAGCCGGACGTCATATCTCCAACGTGAGGCCCGTTGTGGTCACGGGCTGATCCTGTTTCACTTCAGGATTGCACAGGTTGATTTAAGAATGAAATCCTGTTCGGAATCGCAGGAGCTTGATCGAGTCTCACTTGGCAAGGCAATTGAAATATTGGAACGAAGTAATGATCACTGGTTGATTCGAATCTTGTCAGAGATTACACTCTTTACTTGAAACTTCGTCACTACTGACAAGTTGAGTGAAATGCTTTAAAGGACGATATTAAAAATCGTACTTTTAGAACGTCGTAAATACGACCATGTTAGATCACCAATTGACCTTTTGATTTCGCTTGGGTGCTGCCTTAGATGTTCCGAGAGTCAAGATTACACGTTGACCACTCGAAATCCGTGAAAATAGACTCGCAAGGTTGATTGACGCGAAATATCTGATACCAGGACGAGATTTTGGCCAGAATTGCACGGTCAAGTGATTGAGATTTGTGCGAGACCGTCAGATTGACGTGATGATGCGATTTCAGAATGAAATAGTCAAAATTACATCAAGGCTTCGAAAAAGCACACCGTTTCAAATAAAATTTCAAGGCTGTCTGTCGAGGAAAATTATATTTTCTGACTGTCGAAGAGACTCTTGACGAGATTATGAATAGAAATTAGAGTTCGCAATTTCATAAACGGGAAACGATTGCACAGAATAATTTCGAATTAATTTTAAGGAGCACAGATCAATTAGCTTGAAGCAATAAATTCACAAATCAATAATTCTTGCCCCCTCTGAATAAGTATTTAACGAGGATTATGGATTCACTGGGAACAAGAACTTTCTAGCCAAAATTACACTTGGATCACCTCAAAGGGTTACCCGTCAGGAGAGATCACAGCAGTTAGCAGGTCCCTTCGGTTCTGACCAGAGCTTACGTCCAGATCACTTTGAAAGACGATTCTAACTAAAATCATTTAAGACTTTACTTTGGCTAAAGACTCTCTGATCATCTGAAGACGATTCTGTATAATATTACTGCTTCGATCACTTCGGAAGTTGACTTTGGCCAGCGATTACGCCTTAAATCACTAAGAGAAGATCCGTGGGATGATTTTGGCCAGAGATTACGCGATCACACGAAATGGAACGAAACCGAAGCTCGCCTCCCCTCGAAGAGTCGAGGCTACACTTTCGACTAAATTTAATGAAAAGTGTCACCGGGTCGAGGAACGTTCACCAGTTCATGGGAAATCGTAACGATCGATCGAAACGATTAATCGCTGCTCCACCGAGAGGAGCGGCTGGTATCAGTGGGTCGCGCATAAGACTAGCTGCCATCCAGCTCTACTCTTGGTAGATCTCTTCGACTATATTTAAATACAGAGTAGACCTGCCGCCTCTGCTAGCCAGCGCGAGGCAGCGTCCTCGACTGGCCACCAAACTCGCCGCTTGGACCGAAGCCAATCTATTTACTTCAAATATATTTACTCCAAAAGATGATCGATCAACATCGAGGGAAGTGCACTTTCGGATCACTCGGAACGGCCTCGTTAAACTATTTCGCGGTTTTCTAGATTTCACGAGATTGAGAACGCTTACGATAGTTTCACTCGTTTCCTTGATCTTACCCCATTTTATTACTTCGTTCCATAAATCCTATCAGCGTTTATGATCGGCATTTGTATTTTGTTCAGCCATTCTATAAATTCTCCTCTGCTAAGTCGGATACCTTTATAACAGTTTATTACGCATCATTTTCATTATTAATAATTCTTCTACACGATGTAATTATTCCATATCATACAAGTAGTAATAGCTAATCCATTTGCATCGCTAATGTATCAATCATTATACGAAACATTATATTATTATAACATTCATAACCGGAAGCAGAGAGGAACTCTGTTCCTCTCTGCCGGAAGTATATGAGACAAATGGATTAATTTGTAAAATCAGTTGCGCTACCGACAGCCGCACTCAGCAACGACCATATCCTCGTAACCGTATTGATAAGTCAACGTTCCGCTGGCGTCGAGATAAAGCAAACTGGTGGGTGCTAGCCTGGTCGGTACGCAGCAAGCCCTGCCGACTGGCCTGTTCCCGTTCCCGACTCCCTGAAGTGCCCCGTGTACCAGCGTCTGAACGATCGCGTGTTTGGTGGGGCTCAAGTGGTCCCCGAACGGATAAAAGCATTTCCCGAGGCACTGATAAGCTTCGTAGCCCGGCGGGGCAACGACCCACTCGTCGTACGCTATCAACGCGAAGTCCACATACAAGGGACGCCTCCTGCACGAGTTCCTGCGTCTTTTTCTTAAAGGGACGTCCTCCTCCTCTTGCATGAAATCCTCCTCGTGAACGGATCTGCGTGAAATCTTCTTCCGCAACTTGCTGTAGCTTAGGAGCAACACAGGGCCGTTTCCTAATGGCTGGTAACCGATTTTCCCGTAAACCCAAAATCTAACTGTTTCGCCTGAATCAGTAACATAAATTAATGATGTAAATCGATGATATTCAATAATTGTTGGAATTAAATATTCTATCATCGTTTTTACCGCTGCTTTTCAAAGTCACAGCCGAAGTCACGTCGAAAGCTCTCCAGTTGTCGTCACTCCTCGATTTACGAGATTCCGAGACATTTTTATGATTCACGCGCACTCTTAGGATCGACCCGGCCGCTCCAAGCAGCTCGGCTGCTTCTAGGATTTCCTTAGGGTCTATAGGCGGCACGGTGAACGCTAGGATCCTTGCACCGTCCATCGTTGGACTGGATGTGTGCATAGGTTGCACGGCTCTGACTACGTCCACGTCTAATCTTTGGTACAAGTGATAAGGGATTGGCAAAAATAAAATTTAATTCATCACTTGATTCATCGTTTGATTTATCATTTCATTTATTGTTTTATTCATAAATTTAATACATCTAGATACCTTCTATGGTACAGTTCCAGCATGTATTTGGACACAAGTCCTCTGTACTTCCTCTTACGACTTTTCTCAGTTACAATTCTCCTCGCTGTCTTATTTGATAATGATCTGTGAAGTGTCGACGTTGGTATCGAGAGATCAAATTGAATCGACGCTTTCGCGTGCACTGTGGACGTTTCCCACGACATTGAGCCAGTTCTCCATAAACCGTAAACACAAAACGTGCCGGTGATAAATAAAATTAAGCACTGAGTAGGTGTCATTGTGTTGAACAATTGAATTTCTGATTGAGGATTCAGTTATGCCGGATTTTTGAACCGAGGTTGATCGGATTTAAAATCGAACTGACGTGCTCGATCCTTCTTAGTTTGAGCCGTGGCTTAAGGACTGATTTTATTATAAATAGCACGCCAATCCGGTGAAAGTCTGTATTGCTTTTCTGGATATCAATCATATTCTTATCATTAACAGACACTTCTGACTTTTGGGTAATGCAAGAAAAATTAAATCGGTTCATTCATTGTTTTATTTGTATAAATATTTCTAAAAAGTTACAATTATATTAATTTATGATCTGTCTCATAGATTTTTAAATTCATCTTATAAGTTATTATATTTTTATAAATCGCGAAGAATTATGTTCATCAACGTACAATTATTCTGCCGAGGGAAAAATAATATGTTTATGGAAAAATGCTTGATATTTAGTATGATTCTAAATTCATGTAAGAAATAAGTAACACCCTGTGTGTATTAGTATATTAAACTAACTATAGTTCGCTGCTTTATATTTTAGTTTTGAAAGGATTTTCGGTTTTTTATATTCTAATTCACTATAATTAGTTTAATATAATTTACGTAATCTTTTTACTGCCTTACGCCTGATATAATTTCTCATAAAACACATGAGTAGGAATGTTTCGAACACGATATAAATGCATACGAAACTTGTACTGTAGAACATAATGTTTATAACAATGCTTTACCGTCTGTTTGATCGGTACTATAAATATTTATTCTTAACATGCTTAATTAGGATGGGTCAAAAAATACTTCAGACCATTCGTATCGACCTGTTTTCATTATCCACCTACAAGACGATTGTTTCTTTAAAATATAATATGCTATCCTTATTCTTTGTATAAAAGTTCCTAAAAACATTCAATATCCTTACAAATAAAATAAAAATAACAAAACTGGGTTCGAATAATAAATAATTAACTGAACACCTTCGAGCACATCTCGTTATTTTTTCTATTCAACAAATAACACCTGCCAGGACTATTGATTCTGACTCTCCTAGTTTTTCTAAGCTTATGCCTGCTCCCAGTTATCCTCTCCACTTTGTAAACCTGATACTTGATCAAATTCTCTGGCTGACTGAGCCTCATGCACAGAGAAACCGGTCCCGAGAAATCTACGTCCGTAGCTAATTCCAATTTCGGTTCTAAAGTCATCGAGAACTCGGCCATGCTCTGCACGAAGTCCGATTTCACTTTAGTGCCACCTTGCACCACTATTCCGGCTTTGAGATCCACCAATGATTGAGCATTCCTGGACCAGAGGCTCAACTGAATCTGTCCGGCCAAGTCGAAACTCGTGGCACCTTGAACATCGATTTCGGCAATGACGCCGGAGCTCAGAGGAATGTATTCATATATGCTATCCTTATTCTTTGTATAAAAGTTCCTAAAAACATTCAATATCCTTACAAATAAAATAAAAATAACAAAACTGGGTTCGAATAATAAATAATTAACTGAACACCTTCGAGCACATCTCGTTATTTTTTCTATTCAACAAATAACACCTGCCAGGACTATTGATTCTGACTCTCCTAGTTTTTCTAAGCTTATGCCTGCTCCCAGTTATCCTCTCCACTTTGTAAACCTGATACTTGATCAAATTCTCTGGCTGACTGAGCCTCATGCACAGAGAAACCGGTCCCGAGAAATCTACGTCCGTAGCTAATTCCAATTTCGGTTCTAAAGTCATCGAGAACTCGGCCATGCTCTGCACGAAGTCCGATTTCACTTTAGTGCCACCTTGCACCACTATTCCGGCTTTGAGATCCACCAATGATTGAGCATTCCTGGACCAGAGGCTCAACTGAATCTGTCCGGCCAAGTCGAAACTCGTGGCACCTTGAACATCGATTTCGGCAATGACGCCGGAGCTCAGAGGAATGTATTCACGGTGATTGTGAAGAGCAGCCAGAGCTTGGAACGCCGGTGTTCTTTCCGAGGCCGTTCCAGACCAAACGTGACCCATTAATTCACCCTGACCAGAAAAGAACACGAACGGTCTGATCCCAACACCAAGGAAATCGATCTCCATCCCCGCTGTGGCTGCTTCTTCGTCGGCATTATCTTCTTCGTCTTGACTCGACGAAACGAAACTGGACAAGCCACCGGCGAATAATCCTAACGAGAAGAGAGCTTCTTCATGATCTCCTACCTCGAAAACAACGTCCACTATTCCTCTCTTCATCAATCCTGACTGGATTTCCTGAACAGTTACTAGCGATCCGTTACTGTCTATGGATTTTAAAAAGTTTCTGGTGAAAGCAGTGCTTAATCCCTTTTCAATAAAAGCATTATAGATGTTAATATCTCTTCTCATCGACTCGTTTTCCATTAAAACTTGTTTCAATAAGTCGGAGAATTGTGGATTGGTGTCTGAGAGCTGCTCCAAGCGTTGGCTGGCGTACTTCTTCACTTCATAAGCTGAGTCGGGACTGCTCAGATACTTTATCAAATTTTTAAGATCTTGTTTGGTAGGATTGATTTCTAAAATAATGTCCAAAGCGAAAGTCCTAGCGCTGCTGTCTCTCTTCGGTACATCCAACTGATAAAATACTCTTCGCGCGGCTTTCTTCACCTCATCCGTCACGGAGTCCTTCGGAAGGACCGCTATAGCTTTCCAAGCGGCTACGCTGAGAGCTTTGTTATCGCCTACAGCAAATTTCAACAACACCGGCAGCGCAGCTTTGCTCCTGAGGTTCCTCAAACCCCTCAGGAATTTCAGTTTACATTCCTCGCCAGTGCAACTGTCCAAACCAATTTCTAAACTGACTCTGGCTTTGTCTATGGCCACTGAAGATTCCAAGTGACGCGCCATCGCGGCTGCAGTTAAAGTAATCGTCTCGGATACTTTGTCATTCGGATGAGTCTCCTCTGACCGTTTTAAAATATTCTTAGCAACTTCGGCACTGGGACTCGGGGACAAGGACAAGGCCCAGAGGTACCTCTCGGTGTCGTCGCCAATTTCATCCTGCTGAAGCACCTTCATAGCAGCCTGGTGACTAGCAATCGACGAGGCCGCGCCGTACATGTCTAGCAACTGGGATTTTATTTGACGATTCCGTGGACTCTTCAGGATCTTTAATAGATCCTCGGCGGTGGACATTTTTATCAGCGGTATCAGTTTTAGGAAGGCTGAAGCGGACTTGATTGTCCCTAAAGACGAAGCCTCGAGCGCGCTGCGTTGTTCTTCAATCACCT